TAAATTGGTAATAAAAAAAAATTAAGCTTTCCCAAGGGGGAAAAAATGTAAATGAATGAGCAACACTGTTTCAATAAAACTTTATTTATAAAAATAGGCAGAAGGGTGAATTTGGCCTTCAGCTAGCTATAGTTTGCCTACAGTTTGCTCTCAGAGATGATGGCATCTGCCCCTAATTGGCTTTGCACATCTGTGTAGTATTCAGTTAGGTACCTTCACATCTATCTGAGGTGGTATTTTTGATTTTTGAAAAGATCAGATTTTCTGGCCTATCACATAACCAAGAATATGTGAAGGTTAATATATTTTAAATGAGTTTTCTGGCAGGACAAAGGAATTTATATATGACCAAGGAATAATCTGTGAAAAATTATTCAGTTTCAGTATTCAAAACTATATGGAAATCTATTAATAAAATTCTAAAACTTGAGACTCTTTAAAGAGGGAGGGTGCAGGGACTCCATCAGATGGGCTGAGATACCAGATGTGGTGCCCCAGTGCTCAGCTGTGTGACCTGGCTGCTGGCTGTGGATTTCCTCAGAAGCAGACCCTGAAACAAGGATTCAGATACAAATAGTGAATTTGGGATGTAATCCCAGAAACCACTGGTAGTAAGTAGGGACTAGGACAGGGAAGGGAATTTGATCAATTAAGAGTTAGTTGTCAAGCAAGTTACCACCTAGGTGACTAAAGGTCCCTCCCACTTGGGGCCTCTGGAATCCAGTGTAGAACAAATTACCCCTCCAGAGAGATGTGAAGCTGGGGTGTTTATACACTAATTCCCGTCATTCACTGGTTGAGGGGTGCCTCTGGGGAGTGGCAAAGTTACCTCTTGCAGCTAGAGAAAGTGCCTAGGCAGGGAAATACAGAAATTAGCCCCCACTGAGAAGATAAGACTCCAGGGATGTGGCCAGACCCCACAGCATCTGTGGCAGTGGTTAACATCTTACATTGGCTAAGAACGAGAAGAACAGCAGCTCCTGTTTCATAGAAAGTTAGAAGGTAATTCTTGGTGCCATCCACAAAGTTGAGTGTCCAGTTAGTGTCGTCCTCTGTTGTCATTGCTCTCTGTCTGGTACGTTTGTGTTACTGAAGGGCAACTATGTTAGCCAGTCACTAAGCCTCCAAGGAGGAACTCTAGGCCTCAGGCCCCTTTTTCTGGCCTTTATTTTTGTAGCATGTTAATTTCTTTGATTTGGTAGACTTTGTTCAAGTTATAGGCTGTTAGGGACCAAAGCTGCTTTTGCACTCCAGGTTTTTCTCTGCATCTATTTAATTTTTGAGTGACGCTGGACTATTTGTGGTGCTGTTTCTCTTTCAGCGGTCAGAGAGCATTAGACCTGCCTTAAACAGTCCTTTGGAAAGGCCAAGCAATGACCAGGAAGAGGGAGAAAGTTCTTCTCAGGTAAGATCAGCCAACTAGCAAGAGTGAGGCCATGGGATTATAGAGGAGTAGTGGGACCCTGGCAATGGTCTTCTTTAGTCCTGATGTTTGGGAAGCTTAGGGCAAGAGTACAAAAGAAGGCTGTGTTCTGTATCCATCTTGGTGTTAAAGATTAACAAGTTAGGCTGTGTCCATGGTGTGGCTCGTGCCTTCACTTCCCTGGGGACGGCTCTCAGGCCCTGTAGGAGAAAGGAACTGTGCTCCCCTAAGCCATCCCTGTCACCTTGAGCTTTAGCGGGAGCCCAAGGTGGGTGCCTGGACCTCCAAACCCAGCTGGGAATGGACTGGCTCGAGTGCTGTAGGGGGTGGAGGTTAAGGAGATCCTCTCCCTGCACCTCCCTGTCCATCTCAGGTCTCCAGGTGCTTGAGTGCACCGTTCCAAAGCCAGACCTCCCAAGCCCGTCAGAGGCAGGGGAAGTGTGCTATCTTGGAAACCACTTTTGGGTCTTGAGGTGGCCATCCTAACAAAAGCAGTCCCTCTGTCTGGAATCCACTCCCCCATATCCTTACCCCTCCAGGGGGCTTCAGCTCCCATTCCTCTTCTGTAATTTCCATTTGCTAAGTCAGTTACCATTCTTTCAGAGCACTTTGTTATGAGTCCAAAAATAAAAACCAAATAATCCTGTCTTTGTGTTTCTGTGTTTTTGGTGTGTGGGCCTTGCTGCATGCGGGCTCGGGGGTCGGGTGGTACTGCCTTCCCCACCAGGGTGTGTCGAGGTTCTTCTGGAAGCAGTGGCTGTCATTAATAAGTGACATAGGGGCTGCTTCCACCTTGCCAATAGGAGATAGTAGAGACTAGTAGGACTTCTTCAAATCTACTGCTAGGCTAAAATTTTCATGTACAGATAAATCTATAGTTGGATTATACATCATTAGAAGACTCCGAGTCCAGGAGAACCTATCCAGGGTGTGCTCTGGGTGCTTGAAGAATCCGCTTAGCGGGGAGGCCTGTGCTCATGCCTGCCTCCTTATTTCCCCGCCTTGTCCAGACTGAGCGTGTGCCACTGGACCTCAGTCCTCGTCTAGAAGAGACACTGGATTTCAGCGAGGTGGAAGTGGAGCCCAGCGAGGTGGAAGACTTTGAGGCTCGGGGAAGCCGCTTCTCCAAGTCCGCTGATGAGAGACAGCGCATGCTGGTTCAGCGTAAGGACGACCTCCTGCAGCAAGCTCGAAAGTGAGTTGGTTCTCCAGTCCCAGTTGGCATAAACCCTACGTCAGATCTCGGGGCTAAAGGCTGTTGTTGGGTTCACATCTCTGTTAAACAGATCTCAGCATTGAGAAGCCATTACATGTCACCTGAAAACTCAGATTACAAGTCTCTTAAAAGAACAAGTGAGTGTGGCAACACTGGGTCCGACTGGTGACTTCCCTTGGGCTGGTGCCGTCACTGTGTCCTCTGGATGTCTTTGGCTATACTTGCGTGGAAAGTGTTTCCATGCCAGCATATTCTGAGTCCTTGCAGATCAGTGGTTCTCAACCTTCCTAGTGCTGCAACCCTTTAATACAGTTCCTTATGTAGTTCCTTTGTGTTTCCCTACCATAAAATTATTTCATTGATACTTCATGACCGTGATTTTGCTACTGTTATGAAATGTAAGTGTCTGATATGCAGGATATATTTAGGTGACCCATGTGAAAGGGGTGACGACCCACAGGTTGAGAATCGCCATTGTAGATTGTAACTGCTCTAAGAAGGAGCTCTGTCAGACCCTTTTGGCAGACTTACAGCTAGAGAAACTGAGGCCTGGAGAGATTAACACTGGCCAGGCCCTGGCTCTCCAGTCCTCTCTCTGGGCCAGTCTGCCTTTCAGCCCAGCATGGTAGCTCTGGCATGTTGTGTCCTATGGATGGATGGAGGGTTTGTTTCCACTCTTGAGGACAAGGCCAGGATTGTATTCATTCGGGTGGGTTTTGTGCCCAGCACAAACTGTGATTGTGGGGACTCTGTCTTGGGAGTGGGGAGGGGATGGGCAGGAGGGGTGTCACTGAACAGCCCACTGACAGGCATCTCCCTGGTGTAAAGGGAACGTCCACTCAGCTCTTGAGGTATAGATGTTTTTTCATGGGCTGGTGCTGAGTGACAACTTCCTGAAGGTGCCTGGAAAATGGAGAAATTTAAAATACAGAAGCATGCCACATGTGGTCCAGAGCTTCACGTCTCTTTCATGTGACTTTCTTTTCATAGGCGTTTCTTAAACAAAAGTTCTGAAGATGACACGGCCTCAGAGAGCTTTCTCCCCTCAGAAGGAGCGTCCTCTGACCCTGTGACCCTGCGTCGAAGGATGCTGGCTGCTGCCGCCGAACGAAGACTTCAGAAGCAGCAGACCTCCTAGCGCTTCCTGGCCTGCCGCAGCCGCTCCTCTGGGGCCCGTGCTGGAGGGAAGAGGCCTGTCCCAGTTCTGCCCGCTGTCGGAGGAGCGGGCTCGACTGCATTGCCGCTGTATAAAGCATGTGGTCTTACAGTGTTTGGACCGCTGACAAATTTAATCCTTCTTTGTAATACTTTCTACGTGACAGTTCTCTTCCCCATAGAAACACTGCACATTTTAACTCTAGGCTTGGTATCTTCTGGCACTGACTGGACTTGTGGGGTGGGGGCGACTCAGGAAGTGGGCAGCTCTGATAACTGCTCTATGCGTAAGTCTCAGCCAAGGCGGTGTCCTGAGTGCCACTCCTGGCAGGAAGAGCAGGAAGAACGTGTGTGGGGAGAGCGCAGCGTGAGCCTGACTCCACACCACGGGCCACATCTGCTGTCAACTGCTTCTGTCCTTGTCGAAGCAAGCAGAATGTGCCAGAGGCCACACCCACGGGCTCTTGGACCCTTGAGCTGGCGGGGTGTCCTGGAAGAACTCTTGATTTGATACCTGGAGCAGAGGAGGAGAGAGCCCAGAGCTGCGGAGTACGCAGAGGTGACCCCTGTCCCGTTACATTTGGGACAGACTTTCTGAGCCCCCAGTCCAAAGCCGGCTTTGTTTCCGTTAACTCTGGTGCTCTTGCATCTCCTGAGTACACTCTGTGTGTCTCTCCGCTCCTCCGCTTTTCCTCTCCATTCCTCCGAATGGGGAAAGGGTCATGCAGCAAGCTTTGGTTTATGGTTTTAATTCCTGGGTCCAGTAAATTAGGCGTTGCCCGAGCCTGTGGGTTTGGTTCTTAGAGAAGATATGGGCCTTGCAAATTGGGAGAGCAAGTTTTGGAGGGCTTTATAGGAGAATAAAAGAAAATTTTTGTATCTTCTCTGGAGCCCTTCATTTTCTTAATTTTATTCCTGTTGGTTTAATGTAGAAAGGTAGGATGTTGAATGCACATGTCTTGGAGCAGACCCAGGTCCCAAATCTTTTCAAATTCTTCACACATTTAACTTTAAGGATTTGAAACATGCAATCATAGGTTACATAGTTGAGTTTTATGTCCCACTGGATTAAGTTCTTTTAATGTTTGGAAACATAGTTTTATGATAGTCCTTTTGGAAAAAATCCAGTATTATCCAAAATTATTGGCAAAATTGAATATTTTACATAACTGAAAGTTTTTAGAATGTTGGAAAGTAATTGAAAAAAGGGTAATAGGTGGATATTTAGGCAGAGGTAATTTATTTCAATAAATCTCTCAAAAGCCTTACCTTGAAATGCTGTTAGTAAATTTCTGTGATTTTTTTTTTAATTTGTTTTGCTGAGAGCATAGCTATTTGTTTTTATTGTAAAATAATAATAATAAAAAGCAAACTCTTCTAGTGTGTTGTGTGTGGCTGGAACTCTAAGGCAGCTTTGTTCAGAGGCGCCATTGTGAAATCACACTTCCACTTTGATGCTGAGCATACCATTTCAGTTGGAGGGTTCTTGTCATCCTTTCTATTGGGGGCTTTTATTTTTTTGTAGCTTTTTATTTGGGGAAGGCAGAAGCAAATTTTT